GCCTTTGTTCCCTTGGTCCCCGGCAGCGGCCCGCCTCCCCCGCCGCGCGCCGGGGTTTTTCCAGGGCTCAACTGGAGCATGGCGGTGCCGCCTCCCTCACTTCCCCACTCAGACCCCGGCCTCCTGCGCCCGGGCTCGGGCGGCGACCCCGGCAAGACCCCGAGATCACCTGCGGGGAGCTGTGCCCTCTCCAGATGCGCCGCTCGCTCCGTCCCTCCGGGCCCCTAAGCCCCACGTGTGCGCGCAAAGTTGACAGTCTCCTGGCCCGCACGCCTCCGCGCTTGGCGCCCCGAGCCCCTCCCGGGCTGCAAGTTGGGGGACGGGGGTCAGGCGGGTGCGGAGCCGGGCCGCCAATGCCTCCAGGTTGTGGAAGGGCCTCACGTTTTCCCCAAGGGGTTGGGGTGCAGTCCGGGCGGTAGGAGGTTTGGTGGTCCCCACCGTGGAGGGGAACCCAGGAGCGCGCGCACACGGCCCGGCACAGCGGGGAGATCACCCCCGGCCCATCGCGCGCTCGCCGCTCCCGGGTGTAACCGCGCCCGCCCCCACGGGAAAATGGGCACACTCGAGGGCAGTAAGCCCCGGAGCACCGAGAACCCCCTCCCAGCCATCAGGAAGAAAGGGGAGATAGGCAGGCGGAAAAGGGGCGATGGGAGATGCAAGGGGCGCTGGAATGTCCCAGGGAGTGAGGGCAGGAATGGGGACTGTGACCGCGGCAAGCTGGATCCTGTCGGCGCAGAGGTGCGCTCAGTTGGTGGGTGTCTCAGCCACCAGCGAAGCCTCCCAGCTATTACCCAGCCATGTTGGCGGGAAAAGTGTAAGAAACGTTGTGTTTGCTTCTGAGTGAGGCTTGCTAAGCCCTCCCTACCAGAGAAGCCAGACGGGCAGGGTGGCCTTCAGCTGAGGTACAGGGGTGAGGGGACGAATGTGCAGAGGAAGGGGTCCTGGGTTAAGAGGACGTCTGGCTCTGTGGGGTTTTGGAATCTCTTGGGGCTGTCCTCAGACAGAGGAGATAGAAGGTGCGTGTGGGAGGAAAATGCAGAGTAAGGGACACCCAGATCCAGGGAGGCTCGGCGCTGTCTCCCTGCCAGCACCTAACCCCCTCCCTGGTGCATTCTCTTGTTTCCTCAGCAGTAATGGGGGAGCCTGACTTCGCTGAAAGGGCCCCTCCTCCAGTTGCATCTTTGTCAGCTCTATCTGCTTCCTCCCAGTGTTAAGGCCCCCTCCCTCCCAAGCCATCGGAGCATGAGGAAGCCTTGGTTCCACACAGCTGGGCTTCTTGCTCACAGGCTAACGCAGATGCCCTTTGCCCTTGTGAAGCTGGTGGGAAGTTGCCGAAGCTGAAACGAAGCCTGTGGCTGGGCACCAGCCCCTGGAATAGAGGAACTTTCACCGAGGTGAGGCTACCTTTAAGCAAAACGCAATTCAGTTTCCCAGATGATGGCATTCTGGCTTAGTTTTTGTCCTCGTACCCTGCACAGGGATGCAAGTCATGTTTAAGATCTCAGTCAGCTCGAGATCTTAGTCAGTACACGAGGTTCAAATGGTAAACCACACAGTTTCTGCTTGTCCTCCCTGGCCAGGGACAGCAGTGGGGACAGTAGTTAGAATCTGCTGGCACTAGCATCCTGCTTGCTGTTCCTTTGTTCAAGGTTGTCTCGTCCACCACTTACCCTTCATTCTCCCTGTTCTTGCTCAGGCTAATAATAGTAAACCCAGGCCGTAACCCTTATCCCTCAGTTTTCTCACCTAACTGAGGTGAGAATAATGGTAGGGATACGAATGGTGCCTACCTCCCAGGGTGGTTATATGAGTTAAATGAATTTAATATACGTAAAGAGCCTACACATAGCAAGTAGTAAAGCATTTGCTATCATTATGGGAAGTTAGGTAATTTGTCCAAAGTCACATAGTAAGTGAAGTTTGATGTCAGCCCAGGCCACCCGGCTCTGTCGCCCATGCACTTATCCTGTGCTAGTGAAATTTTGCACTAGCAGAATTGGGAAATGGTATTCATGTACATAGCTCATCTGTAAAGTGGAGGAAACAGTAGCTGCTAGGGGCTAGGAGACATTTTTCTAGGAAAGAGCCCATTCATAATGGTGATGTCTGAACTTGTTCTCACTTTGTGACTGTTATAATTGTTTTATGGGTTTTTTTAAATTGCATATGTCAATCGAGAAATTTATGACAATCAGATAATCACCCTGATGGTAGGAAACTCCAGGTCCTTCCAGCAGTGATATGAATCCTAAAACATTTCTTTGTTCCATATTTATAACCTGCACAACTATGCCCAGCACTGTAGTAGATAGAGGCGGGGGTGGTGAGCATTCTTAGCAGGGAGACAGTTCACTTTCTTCCTCAGCAGAGAATATGTGTGTCTATGGAAGTGATACCTTCAGTTGCCAAAAGGAGTAGTTCACTTAACGGTTAATATCTGACAAGGACTTGTGGCAGCAGACTCTGAGATGGTCCATGATACTTCCTTCTGGTCTTCATGCCCTGTGTAACCCCCACCCCGGAGTGTGGGTGGGATCTGTGTGGGTGGGACTTATAGGGCAAAGGTGATGGGATGGATGTGATTATGTGTATATGATAATGTTACATAAAATTGGAACCACCTTCTTTACAGAGCAAGCTGCAACATTGGGGCTGCCTACAGAGGGAACAAGGAATTGAGGCCTCTCCCTGATGCCCCCAAGAAACTGAATTCTGCCAACCACCTCATGAGCTTGCAAGCAGATTCCTCCCCAGTCAAGCCTCCGATGAGACCTCAGCCCTAGCCAACACCTTGATGGCAGCCCTGCAGAAGTCCCAGTCCAGGATGTCCAGACTTCTGTGAGAAACTGTGATATAATAAATGTGTACTGCTTTAAGCGGTGACTTTTTTTTTTAATTGATTTCAGAGAGGAAGGGAGAGGGAGAAATAGAAACATCAATGATGAGAGAGAATCATTGATCGGCTTCCTCCAGCAAACCCTCCAATGGGAATCAAGCCTACAACCCAGGCATGTGCCCTTGACCGAAATCGAACCAGGGACTTTTCAGTCTTCAGGCTGACACTCTATCCACTGAGCCAAACTGGCTAGGGCAGTGGTCGGCAAACTGCGGCTCGAGAGCCACATGCGGCTCTTTGGCCCCTTGAGTGTGGCTCTTCCATAAAAGAACACGTGCGGGCGCGCATGTACAGTGCGATTGAAACTTCGTGGCCCATGCGCAGAAGTCGGTATTTTGTGGAAGAGCCACACTCAAGGGGCCAGAGAGCTGCATGTGGCTCGTGAGCCACAGTTTGCCGACCACTGGGCTAGGGCTAAGTGGCAACTTTTGTCATTATATTGTCTTATAGCAACACAGAACTAATATAAGATCTAGTAGGTGGAAAATCCTACATAGGACTGTTAAGGGATACAAAAAAGTATAAGGAACCCAGTACTTGAGGAGTTTCCCAGCAGTCAAGGAGAGAAAGGAAACAGCATGGTTTTACTACTGGACAAAGAAAGGAAAATAATCTTCTAAAAAGGCAACTTGGCTTCAATTCTAAGAAGAATTTGTCATTTGGATGGTAGAATCTATGAACAGAGCCTAGTATCTGTAACCTTCAGTTCAAGATCCTTCTTCATCCTGCCTTCCTTCCTGCCTGACCTCTCGCCACATCATGCCTGCCTGTTTGCTGCCCTCCTGCACTGCTTTGTGGACTCCTATGTTTCAAAGACCAGCTTCTTGCACCTCTTCTGCAAAGCTTTCTTTAGTTCCCTAGCAGAGCTAACCACCTCCTCCTGATCTCCCAGATCTTTGTTATATATTATTCATTGTCAAATTTTTATTGAGCACCAAGTTCTAGGCCTCCTGTTAGGTGCAAGAGATACTGTCACAAATACAGCTCAGGGCTGTCCTTGAGGCATACAGCCTGCGGGTGGCACCGTAGTCATAGGCCTATCTTCTCCTCATAGGGCCAGGCCCTGTCTGCATCCTTGGCTCTCGGCACCACACACACAGCAGCCAGTCTCAACGTTGGTTAAGTGAATGACTCTGATTATCTCATGATGGGATGCTGGCTTCCTGACAGGCTTTTGGGAATGAGTTTGCTGTAAAATATGTCCCAAGTAGCTGAATTTGTGGGATATTGTGATTTAGTGATGTCATGGGAACTCACAATTGAACATGTAAATGTCAGCAGAAACTGACTTAGTTTACCTGTAATTGATATGGGGTTGGGGGGCGGGGGGGAGGAGGGAGCGAGTGCTAACCATAATTGATCAATAGGTTCAACAGCATTTTCAGGGTGTTGCTGGTTTATCATAATCCAGCTGCAGTAATATGAAAGGAGATAGGGAACAGCCTGTGCCAGTGATAGGAGATTTATGCATCTAATTTATCTTAAAAAAATGAAGGACTCTAGCAGCAAATTAAAAGAAGGGGGCCAAGTCGTGGCCCTATTAGTTCTGGTTGCTTGGAAGCAGCCCTAGGTGTTTATAAATGGGATTTTGACTCCTCGTAACCAGTGCAGCCCAGCTTGGACATGTCTGCAAGGATAGCTTCCTGAGCTGTCAGGGGAGATTGGAAAACGTCGAGATGTCCTGGAGAGCACAGACTGTGGCATTTGGCTGCTGCCAAGAGGAGCAGCAGCCCACTCCATCCTCCCACTGCCCCCTCCCTTTCCTGGCCAATGCTCCTGTGTTCAGTTTCCTGGAGAGTCTCTTTCCCAAGCATGCTGGCCTGCAGGGAGGAATGAGATGCTGCCTCGAGGTCCCCCAGAAGTAGGGTCCAGCCAACCTATTCTGGGGCCACGCTCCAGATCCTGCATCTCACTGCATCTCAGATGTATTTTCTTGGATGTAGCCCATCTCTGCACCTGGGGTCTCCATTATCTCTGCTCAGAATTTTCAAGCCACTCCAAAACCCTCCAATGGGAACCCCTGCCCCATCCCCAGACACTGACCAGGGCCTCTAGGGGTTCTTTCTGCAGAATGGCGAGGTTTCTGGAATCCGCCTGGAGTTCTGCTTTGCTCCCTGGAACTTGTTTACTGTGGACTGCGGACGCTCCCCTGGGAGTTGTGGGGAGCCTTTTCCCCAGTGCTGAGGAACCTGTCTCTACTTGTTTCCTCACTGCCCCAGTTTGCCCTCCACCCTCTTAGGCAGAGCTAAAGTCCCCTTTTAAGATAAGCTGCAGGGAAATGGTCTCAGGAATGGCCTAAAGAGCTGCCCCCCCCCCCCCAGCCCCATAATCGAAAATATCCTCCTGTGACCCCTGCCTCTTGTATCAGGTCTCTGCCTCCCCCTATCCTCCCTAGAGATGCACTATTTTTGGTGTCCTATCTTCATACCCATTTTTCTGTTTGATTCTTGGAGTTTGGTGACCCTAATTTTGGCCTGAGGTCTTGGCTGGGGACCTGGCATTACTTTGGCACTCCCTTCAGACCTGGCACAAAGTTCTAGAAGGACCGCCTGCTGCTGTACTCCTGACTCCTCAAGGCCCTGCCCCTGCCCAGTCCCCAACTCCTGTCCCAGGATATCACTCCACTGGGGCAACTGCTATAAATCCTCTCCAGGCTCTGATCTCTTCCTCAACCAGGCAGTTTCCTGCCTATGGTGTGGGATTAATAAACACTTCGGGAAGTCTTTGTTCTTAAAAAAGAAAGTTCTCTTTTTTAAAAAATAGTTGAGCCCAGGCTGGTGTGGCTCAGTTGGGTGTTGTCCCATGCACCGAAAGGTTGCCAGTTCCATTCCAGGTCAGGGCACATGCCAGGGTTGTGGGCTTTATCCCTCGTAGGGGGCAAGCAGGAGGCAGCCAATCGATGTTTCTCTCTCTCCCTCTCCCTTCTCTCTCAAAAAATCAATAAGCCCTAACCGGTTTGGCTTAGTGGATAGAGCGTTGGTCTGCGGACTCAAAGGTCCCAGGTTCGATTCTGGTCAAGGGCATGTACCTTGGTTGCGGCACATCCCCAGTGGGGAGTATGCAGGAGGCAGCTGATCGATGTTTCTCTCTTATCGATGTTTCTAACTCTCTATCCCTCTCCCTTCCTCTCTGTAAAAAATCAATAAAATATATTTTTAAAAAATCAATAAAAAATCTTAAAAACTAGTGATGAACATGATAAAAAATTCAAAAACAAAAATATGTTCTTCAATACCCTTGCTTTCTAATTTTACTCTGCAAAGGTAACTGTTTTTGGTTTCTTGTTTCCTCCAGATATTTTCTTTTTCTTTTTAAAATATACCTTTATTATTTTTTCCCTTTATTGATTTTAGAGAGAGGAAAGGAGAAAGAGAGAGAGAAACATCGCTGAGAAACATCATCGGCTGCCTCCTGCAGGCCCCCCACTGGGCATCGAGCTCACAACCTGGGCATGTGCCCTGACCTGGAATTGAACCAGTGACCTATTGGTACCTGGGTCAACACTCAGCCACACCAGCCAGGCTCCAGATATTTTCTAAGCCCTCCCCCCACCCCCGACCCTCCAACAAAAAGCCCTGATTCATTTGCCAATTTTCCTGGTGTAAGTATTCCCATCATAGCTGATTTCAAGCTACCAACATGACGTCAGTGAATGTGGAGCTGAGGAGGAATGTGCACAATTAGCTAGGGATGAGAGCCAGCTCCAGCTCACCATGGTAAAATTATGTGTATGTCATTAAGCACACAGCCCGACACACGAACGGAATCATAGGACACCTACACCTTGCTTCTGACATTAACCAACTTGTTGGTAAGATGAAGCCAAGTATAGCAACCACAGCAGAATGGATGTATCAACCCATCTGCTCCTCATGTAAGATTGTCGATTGGAAGGATCTGTGCTACAGTCACTGAGAAGTGTGTGGCAGGAAACTATGAAGGGTCATCAGTTAAACGATGGGGTAAAGTGACTTTAAGATGCTAATTAGTAAGATGACATTTTTTGGGAAATTTAAAACCTTGGTTTGGGGAAATCCTGGAAGAAACCAATATCGATTTCTTTCTTTTCTTTTTTAATTGATTTTTTACAGAGAGGAAGGGAGAGGGATAGAGAATTAGAAACATCGATCAGCTGCCTCCTGCACATTCCCTACTGGGTATGTGCCCGCAACCAAGGTACATGCCCTTGACTGGAATCGAACCTGGGACCCTTGAGACCGCAGGCCGACGCTCTATCCACTGAGCCAAACCGATCAGGGCCAATATCAATTTCTAATGCAGTAATTAGGAGTTAAGAGAACCCTTAATTCAAGACAAGATTTAAACTGTTCTGCCAGGGATGGAGGGGAGTGACTCTTCACCTAGTTCTTTTTAAAACTTCAGTGGTTGATCAAATTTCCCAGCTAGAGAGAATTCAGGAATCTACAAAACCTGGAGCAAAGGGTCTGGTGAGAGACTTCACTGTGCAGGCATGTGGCCCTGAGCTTCCTCGGTCTCTTCAGAAGCCCTGACATGGCCCAATTACCCGTCTTGGTGGCTGCCCAGGACTCCCTCCGAGTTCCATCAGGAAACATTTGTTTTGAAAACAGGCACTTGAGGACTTCCACTCCCCGGGTTTCTGGGTGACTTCCTCTGTGGTTGGCTTGTCACTGTGCCTCCTGGCACCTCCGCAGGCATTCTGAGCTTCCAGTAGTCTTTGTCAGACAAGGTCAATTAGGGCTGGTGTCCACCTGTGCTCTGTTGGTCTGGGTTATTCTCTGGAAAGCAGCTTCTAACAAACAGTTGAAATGGAGTTTTGCGTGCACTTTAAATGACAGCAGGTGACCGGTGGGGCACAAAGGGCCTCAGGCCGCACTGGCCACTGTGAACCCCTCGTCTTCCTACCTCAGTCCTGGGAATGGTTGGACAAGGGGGCGCCATGTGGAGCATTAGAACCACAAACCATTTGTTTATAGGAAAATGATAGTTTCTAAAGTACCCATCTC